TAGGACATCAATGTGTCGTCACGAGCCGCAGGGTTTAATTTGGATTTGTCTGTGCATGTTTTTTTTACTCTCATAGATTTTGTTACCATTGCCATGCATTATACGACTGATAGACTGCAACAGTTAAAGTTAAAAATCATCATATGTGTTCTACTGAAGAAACAAAGTCACCTACATCTTGGATGTCCTGGGGGTAAGCAGATAAACATCTAATTTTCATTTTTGGGTGAACTATCCCTTTAAACTCCTCATATGAAAGCCTGCATGACATGTATAATTCAGTTTAGACAGTTTGCAAGAATGCTTAGCGTCCCTGTTATGAAAATGATTGCTGCGAGACGCTGACGGAGTGAACAATGCTTGAGAGAGTTGTGAGTGAGGGCGTGGGCAGATCCAGCTATTATAAGCATTTTTGGACTTTCCTTTCCCACTTAATTTAACACTTGAGAAAGTTAATATATAAGTAGGAAGCTGCAGTTTAGAGTCATGATTGCTGCGAGACGCTGACGGAGTGAACAATGCTTGAGAGAGTTGTGAGTGAGGGCGTGGGCGCACTCTCCGTGTTGCCAGATCCAGCTATTATAAGCATTTTTGGACTTTCCTTTCCCACTTAATTTAACACTTGAGAAAGTTAATATATAAGTAGGAAGCTGCAGTTTAGAGTCAGCGATATCTTTATCTTATCTTATTTGCAAAAGATTGGAAATAATTTCGGTTTATTTATTATTTTTTTGGTTTGTTTTAGTATCAATATCTGGCAACACTGCATCGCCGGCACTTAAACTGAAAGCAATCAAAAAAGCCCATGGTCAGGCTTTTGCTGACAGGATACGACATTCGGTAAGGGAAACGGAAAAATTATCATGATATTATCTGTCATAAACGTTATCAACGCTGTCAAAAACAGTAGCACTTAACACTAGTACACACAGATCTGTAGAACAAGTAGGTTACAGAATGAAATACACAAAAACTAGCCATGAAGAAGTCTATGCTACGTCATTCAGTATAGTTAAATTTTCACAAATCATGATATAAACTTTCATAAGAGCACTAGACAAACTTATTGTAGTTATGTATTGTTGCAATAAACTGATAAAATTATCCACCCTTAAATATAGTAAAGTATTAACTTTTTGATGCAATAAATGGTATGATTTAAAAATAATCATCCCTCCAAAACAGAGAAAACATATTCTACAAACATCTACATGTCTGTCTCCTTTAAAGTGTTTATAGTGTATATAATGAGTTGTATTTGTAGGGGTTATTATAGCACAATTCTTTAACACCAACCCCCATCACCCCCCCTGGGTACGGCCATGCTTACTATGTATACCATAGTACTCCTAAAGAAAAAGGGTTAGGGTAAAAAAAATGGTAGCACTATGGTAAACTTATTTATAGTGTAATTTTGCAAATGGCTAACAGTTAACTTTAAAAATTTTAATAAATAATAAAAAATAATACATAAATATTATAATAATTTTCCAGGCCCTGGGTTTAATTTCAAACAAAAGAATTATTAAATATAACTGCTCACTCTCAAATCTAAATAGACTGCCCTTTGGCTATGCGATAAGATTAATTTCTTATTTTGTACACAGGAAATAAGATTTGTAGCAAGCTTCTATTCGATGTAACGATGTAACCAAAGACTTTTGTGTTTTCTGTTCGCTTGGCCTCTGTTTAGCAAGTGTTTGCTCTGCGAGACGCTAAATCTGCGACAGTAAAAAGTCTCTTGCGCTCTCTCTCCTCTTATCCTCTTCTTTTCTTTTTAAACACAAGACCGTGCATGTGCCAAGGACTACGAGAGAAGGACGTGTATGTGCGGGGGATTAAATCCATGAACGAAGTCTATTGACAAACACAACGGCAAGAGTTTGTTCTTACAAACTAAATCCAACCAAAGGAAAACAGATCAAGCGTGTGTGTAAGAGTGGATCAGTGCTGGCCTGGCCATGTAATCTGCTGTTTCTCGCCGTATTACAATGGCACCACTGCTGGATCAAACATGGAATAAGTGTAAAGTCGGTCCCTGAGTGCTGGGAATTGGGAGAGATCATGGCGCTCAGGCACAGTGGGGTGGGTGATGGGGTCTGACCCCCTGTCTAAAGATCACTGAGGACTGATCTGAGCTCAGCGGTCCCATGGCTTTATCTAGGGGTGACACGCTCTGATGACTTAGACTCTGACTGTAATCAGTGAGCACTGAGTAAGGAAATATATTGTGAAAATGTCTCATAACGACATGGGGGGTGAGTAAATGAGGACATAATTTTTTGGGG